TTTGAGACAGGGTCTTCCTGTAGCCCCAGCTGTCCTGGAACTCACTATGTAGACCAGGCTGGCTTTGAACTCACAGAGATCTGCCTGCTTCTGCCTCCCGAGTGCTGGGATTAAAGGCATGCACCACCACACCCGGCAAAACATATTATATATTTTAAATTTATAAATGACCACCTTCTAAGAACCTCATGAAACTTTCAGCCATTATGATTTGAACAACCAGAGCTAAAAGCAGCAGCTTCCAAATCTGGATCAAGTTTGGACTTTGGCCTCAGGGGCATATGCAGCCTGAGGTTTCAGAGTTACACACTGTTGGAGCAGAATTGTGGCTGATATTGCCCTGCCATAATGTTGAAAACTGGAAAGACTCAAAAAATTACCAACAGGCATGGTGTCATACACCTTTGATCCCAGCACTTGGTAGAAGCAGGCAGATCTCTGTGAGATGGAGGCCAGCCTAGTCTACATGGTGAGTTCCAGGCCAGCTGTGGCTACAGGGAGATTTTGATAATAGTAATTCACAAGCATACTCACAATTCATTCATTATCTTTTGGGGAGGAATACAAACTAAGGTTTACAGGAAACAAGATCAAGTGCCCAGGTCACAAGACGTGAAAAGCACATGGTTTTTCTGGGGATAATTAAAAGCCATCAGTCCAGATTATACTCATTCATAAAAGTCATTCCTTCCATGGAGAAAGAAATAAAAAATAAAAAGTCAATTCCAAAGGTACTGAGGAATGGACCAGGGCAGGTTCTGAAAGCCTAGGTAACTTTTAACACAAAAGAAAATGGTTTGGAATTTCTGGAATAGCCTTCCATTAAAGTCAGTGTCTTGCAGAGGATGCAGGTTCAGTTCCCAACACCCACATGGCAGCTAACAACAATCTGTAACTCCAGTTCCAGGGGATCCGATGCTCCCTTTCTATCTCTGCCAGCACTGCACATGTGCATGAAACGATAACTTCACAGTGATGCATGTGATTCGGCCTAGTCTCTTCTTCAGTCTGTTTTATATTAATTTTCTCTTCCTACTCCTTCAACTCTTCTTCCCTTGTATCAAAAAACTAAAAAAAAAACTTTCTATGCAACTAAAGACATAAGAGTTAACAAAGACTTTCCCAGAATTATAATGTAATTAATTACCAACCTGGGTGGATCACAGACATGTAAATTTAATAACTTACTGGCTGGCACAATCCAGCTTGCCTCATTTTCCAAAAAATTTCTTATCCTCGACAGTCTCAAGGACCCCTTTTAAGTTTATAATACTAAGGACAGTCTTGAACTCATTCTCAAAACAAAAATAACAAATAAAAACAGTGAATATAAATGTAAATGACAACATGATCTAATTTACAGGGTGTCAAATCATTCTTATCTTACCAAACAAGCTGGCCTTTTGTCAAGTACTCATATTTAGTCTATTTGAGAGAACCTGGTGGAAGGACAAAATCCAGGTCCCAGTCCCAGCCAGTTTCAACAAAGTATCTCACTAAAAACCATGGCTCATTTTTTGAAAGGTAGTGATTTTGTTTAGAGAACACAAAATGTTTATCAACAAAATGTTTACAACATTTATGGACAGAAATGCTTTAAGTTACTGGATGTGGATGACATACAGTGTAGATATGGGAGGGAATAAAAAGATCTGGATCCTGGCCAGGCATGGTGGCCCACGCCTTTGATCCCAGCACTTAGGAGGCAGAGCCAGGCGGATCTCTGTGAGTTCAAGGCCACCCTGGTCTACATAGTGAGTTCCAGGGCAGCTGCGGCTACAGGGAGACCGTCTCAAAAAGACCAAAAACCAAAAAAAACACAAAGATCAGGATCCATAGAAAGCTTCTAGCTAAGAGGCTGATGCTGTGAACTGTAAAATCAGGAAGGAAGCCAAGCTTTTCAAACTGTACTATACCTTGAATTCGTTTTCCTTCCTTTATCTGCAGACTGATGTTTGTTTTCAACCTTGCTCACAGGACGACTGGTTTTGGTCTTTAGCTTCAAGAAAAGAATTAAAACCACCAATTAATTATAGAGTCTAATCATTTTTCCAACAAAAGCAACTTTGTGACATGCAAAATTTGATATTTTTATGGAATTAATTAAATTGCATTTCCAAGAACCAGAACTGCATTTCCAAAGACCCAGACATCAACTGGACCAAGAGATGCAGTAGTACAGAAAATAAGTCCTGAAGATGTGGTACATTCAGCCAGTGTGTGGTGTTAAACTGGGATGTTTTGATTCTCAGAATCTTTTCTCCTAAGGTGTATGTACACCTCCCTTGGCCTCCAAGAGCTTTGTGAGAGGACACTTAAAAAAGAGATCTCAGGATGCCCAGTACCTGGAAGGCTGATCTCAACCCTGGATTTACAAATGAACAAACCTTTTAACTCCTCTGCTTTGTAGATGAGGGTCTGTCTGTCTGTCTCTTTCTCTCTCAGATAATGATTTATAGAGAAGTATAGAGCCTCATGTTATAAACTCATTCCATTTAAAAATGTAGTCACAGGGCTGGAGAGATGGCTCAGTGGTTAAGAACACTGGCTGCTCTTGCAGAGGACTCAGGTTCAATTTGCACCCACATGGTGGCTAACAACAGTGTGTAACTCCAGTTCTAGGAGATCTGACACCCTCTTCTGACTTTCATGGGTACTTACGCATTTCCATACATGCAAGCAATACACTCATACATATAAAAATAAAAATAGCCGGGCTTGGTGGTGCATGCCTTTAATCCCAGCACTCAGGAGGCAGAGGCAGGTGGATCTCTGTGAGTTCAAGGCCAGCCTGGTCTACATAGCGAGTTCCAGGACAGCTGGGGCTACAGGGAGACCCTGTCTCAAAAAAGACCAAAATAAAATAAAATAAAAATAGTAGACAAAAATTTTTTTAAAAACTTATTCACTCTGCCTGGCATAGAGGCACATGCTTTTAATCCCAGCACTCAGGAGGCAGAGGCAGATGGATCTCTGTGAGATCAAGGCCAGCTGGGACAATAGGAAGACCCTGTCTCAAAAAGACAAAAACAAAAAACAAAGCTTATATGGACTCTCATATGAACATTTGAAAATTTCCATTCTGACTTTTTTCTAGTTCCCTGTCTAGAACTTGTAATGCTAATGACTCTTGCCTTTACTTCTCCTTCACAGCTCCTATTCGCAATTCAAGGACTTTTCTTTTCCCTTTAGAGATAAGAGTTATGTTATTTGGGAGTCTTTTAGATAGACCCACTGAAGGGGTACTCCAATTGCTTCACCCTGCGTCCCTGTTCAGCATGGAAAAAGCCAGAGCAGTCTGCATCCACACACACCTCTATAACTTTCAGCATGGAAGAAGCCAGAGCAGTCTGCTTCCCAATTCCCTACTGGCAATTTGGGTAACCTCTTCAGAGGATGGTGTGATAAGAATAGGAAGTAGGAACTGGCTAGGCATAGGGTAAAAAGACCTCAAAGAAAAGTATCCACTTTCTTGGCTAAAAGTCAAAATGTCCTTGGGCCTCTTAGCAACATACTCTGCTCCAAACTCCAAAGATGTCAGTAGAATTTGGGAGCTTGTATCTAATCCTTAAAAGATTTTAGGGTTACCTCTTCAGAGGGGGGAATGTTAGAGTAGCCAAAAGCCCCATAAAAATAAATCAAACAATCAAAGAAGAAGAAAGAGCACGTGAAGTTATCAGAAAAAAGTGATGGGGAGATACAGGAGGAGTTGGAGGGGAGCGAGTGGGCATGGATTTGATCAAAACACCTTATATGCACGTATGAAATTCTCAATAAATTATTTACTTATTTATTGATTTAATGATTTATTATTTTTATGTGTATGAGTGTATTGCCTGCATGTAGATAAGTGCACCCGTGTCGTGCAACACCAGCAAGTACAGAAGAGGCCGTCGGATCCCCTGGAACTGGAGTTACGGACAGTTGTTAGCTGCCATGTGGGTGCTGGGATTTGAACCCAGGTCTTCTGCAAAAACAACCAGTGTTCTTAACCACTGAGACATCTCCCCAGCCCTAAATTATTAAAAAAAAAATTCTTTTCTTAAAAAAAAAAACAAAAAGCAAAGCTTATTCACTGTACTTCAAATTATTCAGTGGAAATACGAGACAGTGATTCAGGTTCTTCATAAGCAGGGAACACTGCATGAATGCCCACATCTGAGCCTTAAGGCTTATATGTTATTTCTATTGAGTCCTACTCATCTTAAAAAGAAACAAAAACCAACCAAACAAACCCAAAACCTGGGGGCCTATGAGATGACTCAGTGGGTAAAGGGGCTTTTCTGCCAAGTGTCATGATCTGAGTTTGATCCCCTGAACCCACAGGTGGATGGACAGAACTGACTCCCAGAAGTTGTCTTCTGATCTACACACACACACACACACACACACATGCATATGCACACACACTCTCTCTCATAGACAGACAGACAGACAGACACACACACACACACACACACACACACAACAAATAAATGCAAAAATTAAAAATTAAACCCAGGGCTGGAGAGATGGCTTAGCAGTTAGAAAAAATGGCTGTTCTTGCAGAAGACCCAGGTTCGAATCCCAGCACCCACTAACAATTGTCTGAACTCCAGTTCTAGGGACTCCGATAACCTCTTCTATCCTGCGTGGGCATTACACGACACGGGTGCACTTACCTACATGCAGGCAATACACACATACACATAAAATAAAAATAAATAAAATATAAAAAAAAAAACTTAAGGGCTAGGGCTGGGCATGGTGGCACACGCCTTTAATCCTAGCAGTTGGGAGGCAGAGGCAGGAGGATCTCAATGTTTGGATTAAGAGGTCAAGCATTATGAAGTTGAAGATAGGATCAACTTCATCTGTAAAACAAGAAAGTTGGAATACAAGCTCTATGTTATTAACAGCTGTAAAAAAAAAAAAAACCCTAAATTTTACAGAATGTAATTATATTTATAGAATGTTTGATTTCATACCTTAGTTTCTGATTGTGAAAGAGTCATCCCTTCAGATAACAGATCTCTACAGACCAAAAATAAGTATCACATGTTAAAATAGACAACAATGAGACACAATGAAATTCCACAGTAATTATATTTTTAAAGGAAAAATATACAAGTATTGCTTTAGTTCCAGTTAATCACTTATTAGCTTGCCATCTATATGAATTATGAAAGTTGATTTCCATACAAATTATGTATAGATATACATGTCTATATTTAATAATTTTATATGTATATAGAATTATATTTCATTTTGAGTCTAGATACATGTTTATTTTAAATGGATTTCTTAAAAAAGTTAAATATTTCACTCTGAGAAGATATTTATTCCTTTAGGAAAATGTGGAATTGATTTTAATAAACAGAAAACCTAACAAGTGATAACTGGCTACCCAGAGGGACTATCCATTTTTAAAACAATTCAGGGAGGCTAAGAGATGGCTCAGAGTTTAAGAGCACTTGCTACTCTTGAAAAGGACCCAAGTTTGATCCCCAACACCTATATGGCAACTTACTCCAGTTCCATGGAGTCTGATGCCTTCTTCTGGACATTGCAGTACACACACACAGAGCACTTCCAAATATATATAGGTAAAACAGTCATTCACATAAAATAAAAATAAATCTTAAAAAAAAATAGTAAAGGGATTAAGGGCTAGTGAGATAGTTCGGTGGATAAAGGCACCTGCCAAGCCTGGCAGCCTGAATTCAATCTCTGGACCCACATGATATAAGGAGAGAACCAACTCCCATAGGTTGTCCTCTTACCTCCACAGTGTACACACATACACACACACACACACACACACACACACACACACACACACACACAAATGGCCCACTATTCTTTTGTGAGCACACTCAACACCACTATTCTTCTAATGCACTCAAGCATTTGGTTAGTGTCTGTTTTCATCATCCTATGAACTCATGAGGGTAGGGATCCAGCCTGCTTCCCCCACTGTGTTTCACACACAGACTCTTTTTTTTTGGTCTTTTTTTTGAAGCAGGGTCTCCCTGTGGCCCCAGCTGTCCTGGAACTCACTATGTAGACCAGGCTGGCCTTGAACTCACAGAGATCCGCCTGCCTCTGCCTCCCAAGTGCTGAGACTACAGGCATATGCCACCACGCCCGGCTTACACATACAGACTCTTAAACCGGCATCAAGTAGGTACACACTGAATGAGTGAATCTAATTTATATTTCATGTACATTTTAAATTTTCAAAATACGTTTGTAGTTTAAAATGAGTATTTGTGGGAGTCTGCACATGATGGCCCACAGACTGAGTCTACCCATGCCCATTCATTACTTAAGGCCTGTGTTGGTTTCACTCTATAATAGTAGAGTCAAATAGTTGTGACAGATACTGTACAGCCCACAATCCTAAAACATTTACTATGTAGCCCTTTCTATAAAAAGTTCACCCACCTAGAGCATTTGTATTAATATCTTAGAATACATACCACATTATTATCTATTCTTGTTAAAACAAACAAACAAACAAACAAACTCCACCCTCTTTCCTGGGAATGACTGACCAAAGTAGAGAACACACAAAATAAAATGGCCTTCTATAAGATGCCACCTACTAACCTGGTTATGCATGAGTTTTGTATACACCAAGATATCCTTAGAACATACCTGCCAGAAATACCTCTGGGAAGGAAAAGGGGCTTCCGAAGTATCTTAAATTTACAGACTATAATCACTCTTGCACATGGCACAAGGGTGTTTCTTAGAGTATCTTGAATCATTCTTCTTTCAGGTTAATGCCTGCCACTTCCTTGGCACATTTCCTGCTCCTTCTGCTCCATTCCACCCCACCCCACACATTTACATGTGGATCAGCCAAAAACATCTACCAGGGGCTGAAGAGATGGTTCAGCAGTACGAGTGTGTACTGCTCTTGCAGAGAACCCAAGTTCAGTTCCCAGCACCCACATGCTGGCTCACAACCACCTGTAACTCCAATTCTAGGACATCTGATGCCCATTTCTGACTTCTATAGGCACCTGAATTCACATGCACATATCCTCACCCCACACATAATTTAAAATAGTAAAAATAAAGACCTCTTAAGAAATGTCTAGCAGCTTCCTCTCACCACCCTCCGACCTGTACCCCAGTGTCCAGGGAAACACTCTGCTGGTGCACGTCCATGCCCAATGCACCACAGCACAGGGTTCTTAGTTCTGTTCAGCTTCTCAGGAAAGGACTGTTTGAACTATGGCTGAGATGATCTGGGTGGTAACACCTGCTGTATTAACTACACTTTAGGACACTAAAGTCTGGTTCTTCTACTGTAGTTTCTGACAGAGTAGCCATAGGTGTTGAGACCTATCATAACATGTACTACTGCCTGAATCCTAAGCTTTTCAGTGGATTATAACTGTTCCAACCTGGAATAGATGGCCTTTACAGAATTTACTTCCATCTTCAACAATTCCCAATAAACAAACAAATGTCATGTTTCACATGTAAATGCCACGGGTTCAAGAGCAGTATTAAAACTATAGTCTGGGGCTAGCAGGATGGCTCAATAGGTAGAGGCCCCTGCCACCAAGTCTGACAATCTGAGTTGAATCCCTGGGACCCATATGATGGAAGGAGAGAACTGACTCCCTCAGGTTATTCTTGGACTTCTACATGCTTACGTGCATATACACACACACACACACACACACACACACAGGTTATTCTTGGACTTCTACATGCTTACGTGCGTATACACACACACACACACACAGTAAATACAAAAAATAAATTCTAAGCCGGGCATGGTGGCGCACGCCTTTAATCCTAGCACTTGGGAGGCAGAGGCAGGCGGGTCTTTTTGAGGTTCGGGCCAGCCCCGGCTATATAGTGAGGTCCCGGGCAGCTGGGGGTACAGGGGGTCCCTGTCTCAAAAAGACAAAAAAAAAAAAAAAAAAAAAAAAAAATCTACCTGATCCAGTTTATTAAGTTTTCCTTAAATGCAAAGTGGTAATGATGCCTCTGTTTTCCTGGATCAGGTGGAATTTATGTTTGGGAAGTCAGTATCTTGCTTGCTTCAAAAGGAACTAGGGATCAGCTGCGGACACTCATTTCAATCCTTAAGTTTACAGGATGAAAGCCAGGCCTAACCTTTATTTGTAATCCAATTTTGGCATTTTGATAGCTATTAAATATCTTCTTTTATAAAATATTACCATCACGCATGTCACAGGTGATTAACCCTAATATAAACATATATACCTGCATCAATAATGACAAAATTGACTTTATCAATTTACAAAAAAAGGAAAAAACAACAGAGTAAGTATTAAGTTACAGAGAGGCCTCCTTAGTCACCAGTGCACTACCAGTAATCAGACCTGACCCTACTAGCCTTCCAATATTTTTTTCACATTTGCTAAGATAAAACTTACATATCAAGGAAGAAATGTGCACTGTGAACACGGGGAGCAAAGGAAAACAGGAAGTGTGAGATCATGAAGTGAGTGCGTCACTGTCTCAGGTACAGAGCTCAACAACTTTTAACCAACCTACATAATCAAAGAGCCAGCACAGAGAGTGTTTTCAATATCCCCAAAATTCCCCTGGGCCCCCTGGGAGTTGGTACACTAACCCTATCGACTACTAATTTGATTTCTGTCCTACAGTTTTGCCTTTTCCAGAGTGTCAAATGCAGTCAGGAACCTGTATCTTTTAGTCAGTGATGGATGGCATATACAACAGTACCACAGGACCTCAACGGAGCGGAAAAGTTTCTGCTACTTACTAAAGTCACACTACCAGGTTCACACAATGAACAGTGTGAGGCTAACAATGCCCTTCTCAGAACACATCCCCAGCATTAAATGGTGCGTGTCTATAAATGTTCGAGTCTGGCACCTTTCATTTAGTTGGACTTAACTACTGCTGTTGGTTCATTCTGATTACTGTTCATTTCTGATTACTGCTAAACTCAGCCGTCATGTGCACATACCACATCTGCATATCCATTCGCCATTTGATGAATGGGACAGTTATGAGTAAAATTTCTCTCAACATTTGCATGAAGACTTTTCTTCAGACATATGTCTTCATTTCTCTAGGGTAAATATCTAGGCTAGGAATTTCTGGGTTGTGTGAAGTAATTATTTCTCTGTTAATATTCCAGGATGTCTGGAATATATCTCGTAACTGCCACTTTGGCACACGCCTCCTTCATGTTGCTCAGCCCTGTAAGTTGTGAACATATCACACCCTCTTGGGGACAGGAGACCCTCAAAATCGGCCTCTGGATTTAGGAGACTGGGAGCCCACAGTTGTTCTAAGAGTTATACAGCCAATTTTTTTATTTATTATTTTTATTTTATGTGTATGTGTGTACTGCCTGCATGTAGGTAAGTGCACCTGGGTAGTGCAATGCCCGAGGAGGTCAGAAGAGGCTGTTGGATCCCCTGGGACTGGAGTTACGGGAAGTTGTTAGCTGCCATGTGGGTGCTGGGATTTGAACCCAGGTCTTCTGCAAGAACAACCGGTGTTTCTAACCGCTGAGCCATCTCTCCAGCCCCATACAGTCATAATTTTAATACACACTTTTTTTGCTGTGAAATTCTCTCCTATTGGATTCCAGGGAGCAATGTGTGCTGTTACTGTACCCACAGTTCCTTCCTAAGCTCATTCTTTACTCTATGGAGGACCCCGTGAACTCAGAAGACACATTCCCAGACTCTCCAGCAGATGCTTAAAACTATAACAGTATCAAGCCCTACATAAACCAAGTTTTTGTCCATATAGTCACAATTATGATGTGAAGTTTAATTGATAAACAAGGTATAAGAGATTAACAGGAACTAATAAAAAACAGACCACTTACAACATGCCGCATAAAGTGGACCTGGTGCCTCTTAAATGTGCTGTCATGCTGTATTCACCCTTCCTGTGACAATGTGAGTTGGCACATGCTATGCTGTGAAGTACACAGATGACAGTGGCATTGTGACATCACATCAGGTCACTACTGAAGCCTGGACAAAGCACCATGCTACAACACTGGTCAGCCTGATAACCAAAGCAGATACTAAGTACAGCACCGTAGAACCATGGACCTGCTGGACTAGGGTGACTCACATCCTAAGCAGATAGAGTATGAGACATCACAATGCTAGGATGGCAAGCAACTTAAAATTGATGAATGACTTATTTCTGGAATTTCCCACTGATAATTTCAAGACTTGGGATGTTTGGTGATCATCACTGCCTCTGCTGCATGAAGATTTTATAATTTTAATCACACAGATCCCATAAACTTGTTAAAGTTACTCCAAATATTTTTTTTTCATTTATTTATTTTATGTGTGTGTTTTGCCTATATACAATGCACCATGTTTGTGCAGTGCCTGTGGAGGCCAGAAGAGGGTGTCGGATCCCCTGGAACTGGAGTTATGGCCAGTCATTAGCCACCATGTGGGTGCTGGGAATTAAACCCATGTCCTCTCCAAGAGCAGTTAGTGCTCTTAACCACTGAACCAGCTCTCCAGCCCCAATTTACTCCAAATATTTGATGGTTGCCTAATTTCTTGACGTGTCAGAAATTTACATGAAGTCAAAGAACATATGGATATGTATCTTTACTCATTTTTAAAAGTTTATTTATTTATTTATTTGGTCTTTTTGAAACAGGGTCTCCCTGTAGTCCCAGCTGTCCTAGAACCCACTACATAAACCAGGCTTGCCTTGAACTCTCAGAAATCCGCCTGCCTCTGCCTCCCAAGTGCTGCGACTACAGGGGTGCGCCACCACGCCCAGCTCTAAAAGTTTATTTTTATTTTCTGTATACAAGTATTTTGCCTGCATGCATCTAAGTGCACCATGTGCATGCAATGCCTATGGAGGCCAGAAGAGGGCATCAGATTCCCTGAAACTGATTAGCTGGCATGTGGGTGCTGGAAACCAAACACAGGTCCTCTGCTAGAGCAGTAAGTGCTCTTAACTGCTGAGTCATCTCTCCAGCCCTTATCTTTACTAATTTATCTTTACCTAATCTTCACATAATTTCAAAAGAAAGGCAGTACAGTGTGTAAAAAAAGGCCTAGAATCAATCACATCACCATGGTTTGAAGCTCAGGGAAATGACCACTCTGTGGTTGCCCTTTGGCAAGCTACTGACTTCTCTAAGCTGCAGTTATGTCAAATGATGATAACAGTTATTTAAATAATGCTTTGAGAGTAACATGAGATAAAGCAGGTAAGAGTTTGCCTTGTATCTGACTAGTATAACTATATATCATTACATGCTTCTAAATTATACTTTAGAATGTGCATGCAAAAAGATATTATATGTTAAAGCTCTACACAGATCACAAGAAGTGAAGTGACTTACCTTGTACAGTAATCACCTTCCTCTTCCAATGATTTGATTTGTGCTGGACAAGGCCTAGATCGCTCTTCTTGTTGCTCTCTCTAGTTAAATAAATTAAGTCATAAATATTCAAGAAACCCCCTCAGAACTATAGCTAGTGTCTCTGAACATTCATCGCTTCAAAGCTGTCCCAGGTCTCGTTATGGTGTACAAGTACAGCCATGTCACTGTCTCACTTTTGGCTTTTGTTCAAGGGCAAAAAAAAGTCATTTAGAGTGGGCACAGTGGCACACATCTTTAATCCCTGCACTTGGGAGGTGGGGGGGGGCAGGGGCGGGGATCTGAGTCTGAGACCACCCTGGTCTACATAGTAAGTTCAAGGCCAGTGAGGGCTACATAGTGACACCCTGTCTCAAAAAAGAGTCAATTCGACAATTCTAATGGAAAAATCTAAGAGTGTTAAAGCCTTTACAGCCTTCCAAGTCCTACTTCCCCACCACAGTAGGAATTTCCATCTTATGTCGCCAGCAATACAGAAAGAGGTACAAGAAAGCCTGTTTAGTAGATAGAAAAATGTCTCAAATCGGCTAAGACATCAACGTTACAGATCATGAAGGAACTAAAATGAAACATCAGAGTGAGAACTTCTGGCGAGGAGATGTTAGGAATGAAAGAGAGCAGGCGGAAGCTGAAGACAGCAGAGGTTGGGTACAGTCAGCCTCTGGGGGGGGTACGCTTCCACTGTCCCAACCCTTCCTGGGGAGAAATAAAGGTTCTCTTCAGGGGCTCTTTAAGCAGAACACAAGCACCCCCACACCCCCATTTTGCTCTAATGTGGAGTCTTGGACAAGTGGTTTCTAGCTCTTTAGATACTGGTAAAACTGAAAAATGAAATTTAAAATTTCTAGTAGAAAGTTGAACTCTAAGTACAATGAACAGACCTGTAACCATTATGTACTACTTAAAATACTAGAGATGTGACATTTCTTATTCCTCAACTAACAATTATGAATTTGTATGAAGTAATAAAATAAAATATGTGGCTGGAGAGATGATCAGTGGTTAAGAGCACGGGCTGCTCTTGCAGAGGACAAGCTGGTTCCCAGGACCCACATTGGGCAGTTAAACAATCAATTGCTTGTAAATCCAGTTCCAAGGGATCCAGTAACAATGATCCACACAGGTACATGCACATACCCAATTAAAAGAGAAATAAGTTGTTTTTTTTTTAAAATACAGTATTACTAGAATTCCCTCTCTGCCTCCAACTCCATTTTAGGGACCAACAGAATTGAAGGAGAATCAGTGAAAGGCTGAAATATGGGTAAGAACCATGAAGGCTGAAGGCAGTCACTTGACCCTTGTGGGAGGGTGACTGCTTCCTGTCAATTGCCATGGTAACAATGCTGCTTACATAGGAATGCCCAATTTGGTACCAGGAAGGAGAACAATGCTTAGACACTTGGTCTGGTGATGTGGCCTCATAGCCTTCCCGGTCATGTGATTCTAGTCTAGCCCTAAGAATCAGTGTTAGAGCCATAAAGAGCACTATGTAGATGAGGATGGACTCAATCTCACAGAGATCTGCCTACCTCAGCCTCCCAAGTGCTGGGTTCAAAGGCATGTGCCACCATGCCCAGCTATCATTTGTTTCTTTTTTTTTTTAACCAAGAGTTAGGCTTTATTCATTCAATGCTATGCAACATCCTGTGAACCTTAATGTTTCTTACACACTCAGGTCTACTGCATTAGCATGTTAATTGACTATATAGCTACCTTCAAATATTTTGGTAATGGAGAAGATTATCAAAATTAATGTTCTTGCCGGGCATGGTGGCACACGCCTTTAATCCCAGGCAGGGAGGTGGATCTTTGTGCGTTCAAGGCTAGCCTGGTCTACATAGTGAGTTCTAGGACAGCTGGGGCTACAAGGAGACCCTGTCTCAAAAAGACAAAAAAAAAAATTAATGTTCTTATTGATCACATGATTGGAGCATCTAAATGGAAAATACTTTTATCACTATTTTTTTAATATTTTATTATTTTTATTTTATGTGTATGTGTGTATTGCCTGCATGTAGGTAAGTGCATCTGTGTCGTGCAATGAAGAGACTGTCGAATCCCCTGGAACTGGAGTTACGGACAGTTGTTAGCTACCATGTGGGTGCTGGGATTCAAACCCGGGTCTTCTGCAAGAACAGTCAGTGTTCTTAACCCCTGAGCCATCTCTCCAGCCCCCATATCACTGTTTTTTAGAAAAAGCAAACCTACCAAGAACACAAACACAGGAGCTGCACCTGAACATTCATGTTCAGTCTGTGTTCATTCACCGACCTGAAATCTGATGCTTTAAGCATTTTATTAATATATGTTATACATTGAATTTAAAAGTTAAAAAAGCATTTACATTGGGGATGGTGGTGGACGCCTGTGGTCCCAGCATTTGGGAGGCAGAGGCAGACAGATCTCTGTGAGTTCAAGGCCAGCCTGGTCTACATAGTGAGTTCCAGGACAGCTGGGGCTACAGGGAGACCCTGCTTCAAAAAGACAAAAAAAAAAAAAAAAAAAATTAGCATTTACATGGGAAAATTGCACATTTACTTACTATTACATCCTCAGCTTGTCGAACCAGGTTGGCTGTTTTTGCTTCCAATTCTGCATTTAAACGCCTAAAACATAAAATAAGTTAATACTTAGTATACATTCCAATTCTAGCAAAATAATCACATTTCAGCAATTACACTTTAATCAAGCAACGCCAAAACATACATGTTTTTAGTCTGAAATGAACATGGCTACTGGAACACATTGCTGGCTCCCTACTTCTCTCCCCCATCATGGTAGGAGCTCAAACACCGTCCTGCCATTCCAAGGCCCTTTATGCATGTCTTTGGTGAAGTGATTTGTCTGATTAATAAATCAGGCAAGAATGAACTGTGTGAGTTCTACTCAGTTCTAGGATGATCCTACCTGTGGAGAACACAAGTTCCAACCCTGCATCTAGAGAGATAGGCAGACTCTGCTGAGGACAGGAGTGGCCAGGGTGGGGAAGGCTGGCTTGGTATGGGTGTTGCTGTGTTTGGGGAGTTTAATAAGCAGATCCATGTGGCTCAAGACTCAGCTACACACTTTAATATTAGGTTCAACAGAAATATGGGACTAATTTGACCTCTACTTGCATTCTAGCAAAATGCAGGATAACGACTTACTTGGTCCAATGAAGACTGTTAGAATGATTACAAAGGAAAGGACAATTTTTTTTTTTTTGATCTTTTTGAGACAAGGTCTCCCTGTATCCCCAGCTGGCCTAGAACTCACTATGTAGACCAGGGTGGGTTCCATCTCACACAAATCCACTTGCCTCTGACTTATGAGTGCTGAGATTAAAGTCATGTACCATGATGCTGGCTTAGGAAAATGTTTTAAAAGAAAACAAATTATCTATAAGTCCATTACCATCATCCAAGCAGTTTATTTATTTTTTACATATATATTTCTTATTATTTTTATTTTTTTATTTTATGTGTATGCATGTATTGCATGATTGTAGGTAAGTGCACCTGTGTTGTGCAATGCCCACAGAGGACAGAAGAGGCTGTTGAATCCCCTGGGACTGGAGTTACAGACAGTTGCCATGTGGGTGCTGGGTTTCGAACCTGGGTCTTCTGCAAGAACAACCAGCGTTCTTAAACCGCTGAGCCATCTCTCCAGCCCTCCAAGCAGTTTATTTTTAATGTTCTGATTATCATCTGTAGCATACACACAACTTATACTGTACTTCCCTGGGAATGCCAAAGGGCTATACTTAGCTCCATTTGTTAGTTCCAGTCCAACTTTTTCCTTTAAAGATGAACACTATGCCTTCAAACAATACTGGCCTTTGTCCCCACTCTTGGTTACCTACATACTTGAGTTACAGAACAAACAAGGAGAAATCAAACTGGTTCTGACTTCAAAGACTCATCTCTACTGGCTAGCTTTCACAGTGATGGAAGGTGCTATGCATGCTATCTACAGAGAAAATTAACCATCAAACAGTTGTGAATTCTGCAAGCTATAGCAACAACCTGCCTGGCAAAGATATGACTACCTGTGCGATAGTGGCACAAATATTATGGGAGTAACACAACCACTTTTTAATTGGATTTAAGGTCCACTTTGTAGGATGGAACCCATACCTGACATTGATATCAGACCTGGGAACCTGAGGCTAGACATGTCACAGGGGAAGGACAAATACTAGCTTCTGCTGAATATATATAGCATTACACTGACTCCTAATGATTTTTTGTTACACACAAAGATTAATGCATCTCTCAACTCTTACCAGAAGTTTCCTTATGCAGCAGATGGTGATTAACACAGAAACCCACAACTGGTCAATGTACAGAGAACAAGAGGTTGCAGAGTGCTTATCCCTGAATAGGACACCTATATCAAACTTCTGCCTCCCCCTTCCCCCTGCAAGGCTCAGAGATCATTTCGGAAGAAGATGGAAAGATTTTAAGAGCCAGATGTAGTGACCACAAGGAAACAGAATTTTCCAGACAGCTGGTCAGTTACTTATACGACCTCACAGCGATGGTGACAGCATGCACAAGTCCCATGCACAAAATCCCAGCACAGAGGTAGGAAAGGGGGTAAGAAAACCCAACACTTGCTCAAGAACTATTGGCAATCTATGCTGCTGAGAGGTGGAGAGTCAGTCTTGTTTAAGAGTGAGAGAGACTCTGGGTAGGTTAATCAGGCTCCAGTGGCTGGAGGACTGAAAGACACACTGAAGGACATTTGGGGACACAAATTAGACTCTATTTTATATACATAATTTCCAGGTGATTCAATGCCCTCCTCTGGCCACTTGAGAATACAAACAGATCAGGACGACTAGTCACTTTTACCATTGAACTACTCTTACTAGAAGAGATTTTGAATGTTAAGCAGGACTAACGATTCCTAAGGACACACCCGAACCAGCTGCAAAACGTAGTCTCAAATAATCCCAGCAGCAGAAGGGTTGAGGCTGGAGGATCCCATTCAGCTTGAGATCAGCCTGGGCTACACAGTGAGATCCTGTCTAAAAAAATAACAAAAGCTGACAACACACCACAACAAAACCCAAAACCCCACAAATAGAAAACAAAGGGCTCCAGTACATAGATGGCAGAGCTGCCTTTGGAGAGCCGACTCCACGCTTCAGAACACTCCAGCTTCCTAACAGGCCGGTCAGAACTGAGTGCAGCTGTGGCAAGGCAGCACTGTCCACTACATGTAAAAACAACTCTCCAGTTTGGACTTTACGCTTTAATGTTAAATATGGATTATATGGTAACTTTAATCCTGAGGAAATGACAGACTGCTTCACAATTTCAAATGAGCTGCTTTTAAATTAAAGTTGTTAAAATGTACTTTTTTGCAAGGGTATATATAGGAGGGCAAAAAAAAAAAAAAAAAAAGACAATCTCTACCTCCTGGTGGCGTGTGGAGTCCAGTAGCGGCAAAATATAAACAAGTGCTAGTGTGTTTATTGTAATAAACTATGCTAAAAGCAAAAACTTGATTAAACATTAGGGGAGTCAGTTTTGCTTGGTGAAAGGCCCCTCTGGCCTTACAGGTGTGATTTCCAATAAGGAAAGAGGAGCGAGGTCAGGGAGGAGGCGGAGAGGTAAAAACAAAACGAAACGTGGGGGGTGGGGGGCGTAAGATTGAATGAAAGGGCTGGCGGGAGCCAGGTCTGCCAGAGCTTTTGGAAATGCAAAAACTAAAGAAACAAACAAAAGAATATTGTTTTAGCGTTTTAAGCAATGCAAATGAAAAGTCCGCTGGGCGCGCGAACCGACCAGGCGCGGAAAGGGCTGAGAAGGAGTCGAAGTGGAGGGGAAATCGGCCTCTCGCCTTCCAGCTCGGATTCGGAAAACCAGGGAGGGACCTGCGAGTCCGCGGGAAACTGCGGTCCGGCCGCACGCCTCGCCCTCCTGCTGACCCAGGCGCTTCGCCACTACATTTTCAACCCGGCCGAAGGCCTCAGATCCCAGCAGGCTGCTTGGTGAGGGCCCAGGTGCGGGGTCCTCGAGCCCCGCCAGCCCGCGGGAGAGGCGCGCAGACCCGGGGCGAGGATGCTCACTGGTACGCCTGCTCCCGGGCGAGGAGGTCCGGGGACGGCTGCGCGCGCGTCCGGGGCCCTGCGGCGCCACGTCTCTGCAGAGCGGTGTGCGGGGAGCTCAAGTTCCAGGGGGTCCGGCGTGCCGCCCGTCCGCAGCCCAGGGGCTGGCCGGGAGAACTCTCCCGGGCACCGGCACCTTGTCCCGCCATCTTTCCGGATCGCGATGCGGTTACCGGGGTAACAACGCGTCTTCCCGCGAGAGTGCCCAGGTCCCGGGCGGACTCCCGCGGGAGAGAAGTCGATCTCGGCCCTCCTCCTAAAGCATCTCCCGAGGGGCGGGGACCCCCCCCCAGCACGGGTGCGCGGTCGCACAGTCGGCTTCGGCAGGTGCAAACCCTGTGTCAGCCCAAGTTCAAGTCCTGACTTTGCCACGCACTAGTAAGACGGCCTTGGGCGTGTCATTTCTTATCGCAACGACTTCTGCGAAGCCGGGGTAAGAATACCGCCAACATCACAGTCACCGACGCGTAAAAGAGTTCCTGCTCAGAATCGTGCCAGACAAACATGTCGATTCCGAGTCTTTGGGGTTAAGACTGTGAGTCCGGAAATAAGCCTTCCCATTTATAATCACTTGGTCCACAAGGATGACAAGGGGCTGGTGCTCTGCAACATGGAAGACAGGTGGATGTGCACGTGGGAAAAACTAAAAAAAACCAACCCTCAACTCACACCATAAACAAATCGTAATTCAAACTGGACACAAGATCCGAACTAGAGGTAAATATAAAGCTATTCGTAAACACCATATATGCAAGGCTTAATGACCCTGAATTAATAGATTCTTTTATATGTTCCCAAGACAACAAAAATTAAACTGGATATCATCAAAATGAAAGTTGTTTCCTTCAAAAGATACCATAAACCAAAAATACAGATCACAAAAGGTGAACACTTTGATAATTATCTGATGAGACTTTTGTCCACAATATGTAAAGAGCTGTTAAAGTTCAAAAATAAAAAGGGTTTTACACAGGCATTTATTCAAAGAAAATGCACAACTGGAAAACATAAAAAGATGCTCAGTATAGTTAGCTTTCAGGAAACAGTGAGACACCATCTCACACCCAGGAAGATGATCATAGTAAAAGTGAGAAAGTAACAAGAGGGAAATGGGAGGTCTTTGAGCCCTTATATATTGCTAGAGGTGTGATATGAAAAAATGGGCGGTGCCTGGGAAAAACAGTCTGGCAATTCCTTGAAAGTTTATAGCATTGTACCATAATACAGCAGCTCACGCCGAGGTGTATACCTAAAATAAGGAAACACACCTGCCCAAAATTTACAGAAGTGTATAGAAACATTATTCATGAGGCTGGAGAGATGGATCAATGGTTAAGAGCACTTGCTGCTCTTGCAGAGGTCCCATTCCCAGCACTCATGAAGGGCAGCCCACAACCACTTGTAACTCCAGCTTCAGGGGATTAGACACCTTTTTCTGGTCTCTGTGGGAACTGTATTCATGTGTATATACATACACATATACACATAATTTTTTCCTTTTTAATTGAATTTTTGCAAACTTCATACAATATATTTTATCATATTTAGATCCTCTTCCATATCTGTACCCCCATGTACTCTAACATATACATATATTAGAGTATATATATATGTATGTATATATGTATGTATGTATAGGCTTATAAAGTCAAGTTTGTGTCCCCAAATACCCTTTGGTGTGGGTTCATTCTCTGGAGCCTGGTCAACCTACTCAGAGTCTCACCCTTAAACCAAGTTGACTCTCTCCCTTTCCCAGCAGATAGTGGTTGCCAATAGTTCCCCAGGTAATGTGGGGTTTTTTTTCTACTTCCTTTGTCCATGCTGGGATTTTCTGGTTTGAGCTTCATGGGCCTTGTGCACACTGTCACCATTGCTGTGAGTTCCTAAGAGCAGTAACTGACCAGCTGACTGGAAAACAGTTTCATGTGGTCTTCTGTTTCCTCCTCTGGCTCTTACAATCGTTCTGTCTCCTTTTCTGTGATGATCCCTGATTCTTGGAAGGCAGAGTTTGATACATGTGTCCTATTCAGGGATAAGTGCTCTGCAGTCTCTTTTTCTTGGCATGTTGGCTAGTTGTGCTTCTCTTTGTTCAGCACCATCTGCTGTGTAAGGAATCTTCTCTGGTGAAAGTTGAGGATGCGTTAATCAACACAGGTCTGGGAAAGCTCCCAGATCTGGGGGTCCACAAGGGTCCTAGTAGAATAATGAAAATATTTTTTATAGAAACATTATTCACAATAGTCCAAAAGTTAAAAATGCTCATATGATCATAAGCTGATCAGCAGATAAATGTAAACCACATATTTATATAAAAATATTATCCAACAACACAAAGGAGCAAAGTGCTGATACCTGCTGTGATATGGATGAACCGTGACAGCATAGTAAATGAAAGCCTATTAAAATTAAACTTACAACATACTCTATAATTCCATGTACAGAAGGCCACATGCTATATGATTCATTGAGAGTGACAATATAAATATGAAATGTGCAGGAAAAGCAAATCCATAGAGACAGAAAGCAAATTAGTGATTATCTAGGCCTAGCAGCTGATGGCAAATCAAGCCTAAAGGGTTTTTTTAGGGTACAAAAATACTTCAGAATACATTGTACTGCTGGTTGCACAACTCCCTAAATATATTAAAATATTAAAAGTCTGTAAATAGTACACTTTAAGTGGGCAAATGGAAAATACAAGAAACACATCAAAATTCAAAAATATTTTTAAATAAATTATTTAAAAGGTCAAGAGATACAGGAAGACCAGCTAATATTTAACAAAAGTAAGCTGTAGTAACGAATTCATTTCAAACAAAGATGACCAGAATGATTGTCAAGGACAAGGTGGGGTATTACATAGAGACAGAAAGTTCAGTTCTTCAAGGAGAGATGCTAATCCTGAGTGCATATGTACCTAATGCTGGCATGTCCAGGTGCAGGAGGCAAACACTGCATGAGAAACAGTGACAACTGCTGCAGGCAGGCTTCAATATGCCTCTTTCCCTAATAGATGGTTCATATGGCAGAACAGCATTAAGATGCAGGTGCCCTGAGCAACACCCGCAACCAGCTTGAGGCAGCTGATATTTTCAGTGTCACACGGAACCATCGCTGAGGTAGACACATTCTGGGCCATAAAACACACTTAAAAAAACATTTATTTTTTCAATCCCCAGGACCCACATGGTGGAGAGAATCAATTTGCACAGGTTGTCTTCTGACTTCCATCATGCATTGTGGCAAATGTGCCTCCTCCACATACATATATAAATAAACAAATAAATAAATAAGTAAATGATTTCTTTTAAATTGTGTGCGTGTGTGTGTGAACATATGAGTGCAGGTACCCTTAGAGACTAAAAGAGGGAGTTGGATCTCCTGGAGCTGGAGTTCCAGGCACGTGTGAGTCATCTGACATGGGTGCTAGGAACAGAACTCTGATCCTCTGTAAGAATAGTATGCACTCTTAACCACTGAGCCATCCTCCAACCCCCACATTTTAAAATATTTTATCATTTTTATCTTATGTGTATGAGTGTATTGCTTGCATGTGTATAAGTGCACCTGTGTCGTACAATACCCTTGGAGGGCAGAAAAGGGCATCAGATCCCCTGGAACTGGAGTTATGGACAGTTATTAGCTGCTATGTGGGTGCTGGGAATTGAACCCAGGTCCTCTGCAAGAACAGACAGTGCTCTTAACCACTGAGCCATCTCTCCATCCTCAAGCCCCCACATTTTAAAAGAATGGAAATTCTATGGTCAGGCATGGTGGTGCATGTCTTTAATCCCAGCACTTGGGAGGCAGAGGCAGGCAGATTTCTATGAGATTGAGGTCAGCCTGGTCTACATAGCAAGTTCCAGGCCAGCTGTGACTACTACAGAGAGACCCTGTCTCAAAAAGACCAAAAAGAAATTCTGGGCTATTTATCACAAGGTACTACAAACTGGTGGCTGAACACAACAGAAATGTATTGTCCCATGGTTTTGGAGGTCAGAAGTCTAGTGAAGCTTCTTTTGAAGCTTGTAAAGGAGAACCTTTCTTTGCCTCCTCCTGGTGTCTAATTGGGGCTGTCACCAGTTGACTTTCCTAGGCTTGAAGCTACACCCCTCTACTGCTTCTGTAATCACACAGCACTCTCTGTGTGAGTCTCTGTTCACTTGGCACTTTCTCTTCTCAGAGACAACAGTCGTGTTGGATTAGGGGCACTTCAATTGTAGCATGAACTTTATCTGGGGAGATGTGAACAAATGTTTACTTACCCCAGATGAACACCAATGACAGGCCAAAGTAATGATTCCACCCAAGTCCAACTTGGTGAACCTATGAGTTTATTAGGGTTGTTCCTAGGAGCGTGGGTGAGGTATTACTTACAGGAACATGTATGGCCCCCAAATAGTTCTATCACTGAAAAATCTCAACCCAGCATGGATGACAATTACCCCAGAGCTACTTAGATGGAGTCTCTCCTTCAGTTAACATTTTACTCTCCAACCAAGCATCTCCCAAGAGCTCCTGCAACCAGGGCAGAATTCCACACAGCTGGCAGAAAGGCCCAGGACAGAGCAGCTGGAATCTTAGGTGAGGGTCTAAAGACCGTCCCCACCCCTTCTTTCTATGAGGGAATGTCAGCAAACCCTATCTTGAGGGTCTCTTTTGGGTAGTCGTAGCTGCTCTGATGAAGGTGATAATGACTGCTGTGCTCTGAGGACAGTGTTTCAAAACACAAATGCACCCTAATGACTTCATGCCAATTTGATTACATTTGCAAAGATCACATTCACAAGCACTGGGGGTTAGAACTTCAATATATCTATTTAGGGGACACAAGTCAACCTACAGCAGAAACAATTATATTCACAATTAAAGTAAACTATAAAACATCTGGAAAATCACAGAACATTTAGAAATGAAGCATACACTTAGAAATACTATATGTGCTGAAGAAGTGCCAAGAGAAATTTTAAACAGTTTTAGAGCTAGCTCTGCACTATCTTTAAGAATTGTCTTCTGGGGCTGGAGAGATGGCTCTGCGGTTAAGAGCACTGACTGCTCTTGCAGAGAATCTGGGTTCAAGTTCCAGCACCCACATGGCAGCTACAAATCATCCTTAACTCCAGTTCCAGGGGACTCCAAAGCCCTCTTCTGACCTCTGCAGCATTGCACAACATGGGTGCACTCACACACATGCAGGCAATACACTCACACATTAAAAAATAATAAATATTTTTTAAAAAAGAGTTGTCTTCTCAGAAAATGTGTATCACAACTTTAATGTCTCAACTAAAAGGAAAATAAGCTTCTGAAAGTACGTGTGATGCATCAAAATAGTACCCAGGGTACTCAGTGCTGAGGCCACAGACCAGGGGAGAGAGAAATGTGGTAGTCAGTGGTCCAGACAGCCACAACCCCACAACCTAGGCTGCCTAAGAGAAAGGAGAGCAAGTTATTTTTAAAGAAAGCAGAAGAAAAGAAAGGAAAAAATATTAGAGATCATAAATATTAGAACAGAACTCAATAGAATTGAAAATAATAAAACAATAAAGAAATTTACAGAAACCAAAAGTTGGTTCTTTGAACGTTTAATGAAATCAATAAACTTTTATTGGTACTAGCCAGAGAGAGAGGGAAAGGAAACTCTTCTTTGGTCTTTTACATAATGGTTGGTCAGGAGCAGCAAAGGACACGTTAGAGAGACTGGGAAACAGGAGGCATGCCATGCTGCACTGAGCTACATGGTGACGCCTCAGGG